TGTCATATTTACTTAATGTAGGGCAGTTGTGCTATATCCTAGGGGAGGGCATAATTATTAATTAATAGGCATTATAGGCCAGAGGAAAATTTGCACCTCTTCACACCTGTGCCCGAGGGCGACTGCCCCTTGCACACCTCTTGTTATGCCATTGCACTGTGGTCACTTGTATTACAGAGCCAGGGAGTATCAATTCCAGGTCTTTGTGCTTTCAGATCCTGAATCTCCTTTCTGGGCCCACAGTCACCATATTGTGGTCTTTGCTTTCCTTTTTTCCTGGCTCCCTGTATCTGGTGGTGGATTAATTATTTCCTACTAACACCTTTGCAATGTGGTATTCTAGTTTTGTGTGAGAAGAGATACGACCGTATCAGAAGTTAACATTTTTCTTACACTGAAAATATATTTCTGATAGGTACTTACCTCCTCTCACACACTTCCTCCCCATGGCTGGTGTTCTTCATTTAGAACCTGCCAATTCTCAAAAGTGAGGATTGAGTGGGAATAGCGGAGGAAGCTAGCTGCACCAACATAGGTTGCACAATACTATTGGTGGAGGATAGTCTCATGATATGTACATGTTCAAATATGGTGTGAAATTGATGAGGAATATAGACTTGTGCACTGATTTCAAAATTTTTTAGCAATGCTTAGAGGACAGAAAAAGACTGAGGTGGCTTTGTGGGAGAGGAGGTAAGTACCTATCGGAAATACATTTTCAGTGCAAGAAAAATGTTAACTTTAGTGTTAAAATAGGTTATTCCAGATTACAAGGATCAGGAATGGAGTGATGAGAATCCAGATAACTACTGTGGTATTTTTCATTTCCGCTTTTGGCAATTTGGTGAATGGGTTGACGTGGTAATTGATGATCGGCTTCCAACAATAAATGGAGAACTTGTTTATTTACGTTCTCGAGAGAAAAATGAATTTTGGGGCCCTTTACTTGAGAAAGCTTATACCAAGTGAGTTAATTGTTTTTATATGTTATTTACTTTTTATGTGAAAATTATAAGTAGCTGAAATGTAATATTACTAATTGATAAAAACTGTTAAAATAAAATTTTACCAAATGTATTATTTTGTGTTGGTCAGCAGTTAGGTATTTAATTAATCATGAAGCATTTTTTACCTTATTTTATGGGAACTAACTATGGAATACTTGGTGTCTTTGAAAAAAAAATACAGTGAAATTTAAACAAAATTAAGAAATGGTTTTTATGCAGATATATTTACTGAAACCAGTCTTGTTTTATGATAGTAATGTAAATTTTATTATATTTGGATTATATTATGTGGACTCATTAGTGGTTGATCTATTATTGAGTTTGTCAATAGATTAGTCACTCTTATACATAAACTTACCATAATTAAAACCATCTATGCCTGAGTATGAACCAACTCTTTTTTCTTGAAATATTTACTTATTTTTTTCAAACTAAATAGATTGGCAGGCTCTTATGAAGCTTTAGAAGGAGGAAACTTGTCTGATGCATTAGTAGACTTCACAGGTGGAATCTCAGAGAACATAGAACTTCAAAAAGGAGGCTATTGTGATGATGAAGTGAAACGAAAAGAACTCTTCAAGATTATGTTAAAAGAGATAGATCAACATTCATTGATGTGCTGTGCTGTAGCTGTAAATATCATTTATATTCTAATATCTGTATAACCAAGTTAGTAAAATTATATTATGAAATACTATTGTTATGAAATTTTTATGTTCAAAGTAACAATTATGTATTGATTTTCTTCTAGTTGTTTTGTGGTGGAAAGTTAGAATTAAGCAAAGAACTCAAATTTTAATAGCTCACTTCTTAGCATTTGTTTGGTAAACTGGCTTGTATGCTTAAGTCTAGGCATATAATAGTTTTCCTGCATTATAATTTGTTACATTGGTGTTTAACTGTTGTTTTAGGCTATCTGAACTATTATTAGGTTATCAGTTTCAACTATATTTGTTGATTGCTTTGCTTTTTTCATTTGTGGTTTGAGGAAGTGAGTATTAATGACTTAAGGTTGTTCGATAGGTTTGTGTATTGTTTGCATCGTGTTCCTGAGTGTGGGTTCGGGATGATTTTAATGATTAGAGAATGTTCCTCAGATAACTTGGGCTGTGATAGCTCAGATGATACAAGTAAAACCTTTCCTGACTGGAGGAGTGTCATTAATATCCCTTAACAAATTGCATCAAATTTAGTACAACTTATTGAATAGTATGTATTTTGAGCTATAAAAAAATACATACAACTTTATTTAGTATTTATATGATTTGAGGTTATGAAAATTTTGAAAATTTCATTGTAACACTGTTGAAAAAAAAACATTAAAATACTTCCTTTTATTTACAATTAAAAGGAATACAACGTCAAAATCATTACATAATAAATAGTTATTAAAAACAGGACTTGCCCTAAAAAAGTCTAAACATTTTTCGGTGTCTTATGACATCTCTACAGAACACTGAAACATATGTACAGTCTTTTTTTAGGGCAAGTCCCTGTTTTTAATAACTGTTTATTTTGTAATGATTTTAACATTGTATTCCTTTTAATTGTAAATAGATGTTTTACCAAAGTGTCATTTTAAATCATTTACACTTCCTTTTGCTTAGAATTTAACTTTTTTATTGTTTATAAGAAAATTTCCATTTTATACATACAATTAGCTTCAACTTGCTTGATATTCAATAATTTTGATATTTTATTTTGCTGATTACAGTAGTCATTACTTCCAGCTATAAGTTAGGAAAATTCTAAAAAAAAATCAATAGTGCATTGTTTACAGGTGAGGTTCCTTGGAAGTGTGCAGAAATGAAAATTAGAACATTTCTGTTGTTTTTCTTTATGAATTGTGCTAAGTAAAGCTACGAAATATCAATTCTAAAGTATTTTTAACCTAAAAGTTGTTAGAATAGATAGAAATATTGTTTTTACTTAAAATTTGATATGCAGGTGTGCACTTAACACCCGAAAGGTCATTTGAAGTTTTTTAATAAATGATTTTTGTGTGGATTTAACTAGAGAAAATTACAGTAGTTTACTAAGTGTGTAGGGTCTCTGCCAAATCCAGAAAAACCTATGTGAAATACAGAGATAAGTAGGGTGCTATATGCTGAGTATTTAGCTGCAGTTGAAAACTACGAGTGAAGAGTTACACATTTTGATAATCAATCAGCTTTGGATGATGTTCTTCAGTCATATGACCACCAGCAGTCACATTAGTAACAATCAAGAGTGATTTTTTTGCATTTTTTTCCTCTTGCTGACTCACCCTGTCTCTTATCCTGCTACATGATATTTATCACTTTGATCTTTCATTCCAGTCATTTCTTCCTCACCATCATTCATTTGCTAATTTTCTTTTTTATTATATTTTACCTTCCATTGATGACCCCTCATTGCATTACCTGTTATCTTATTTCATCGTCATCATCTACTAGCATGTACTTATCAATGATATTTGGCATTTGCTTTCTTCAGCCATGAATTCTTTTTCAAGAAAGGCACTCTTTGACAGTGTTTGCCATCCTTAAAAAACTTGGAATTACTGATATACTATTTCATTTTGTATGTTTTATCAGGTAGTCCTGCTGTTGGTATCATAAATCTTCTATTACCCTAGTTTTTACCCTATTCTTGATTTGACTGTTGAAAGGAAATCCATTCATATTGTCTTTGTGAAACCTACTTGAAATGCATTGAGACCTTCTTTAGGCTTTTTTAGAGCTTTTGGCCAAGGAACACTTTGAAAACTGATCACAACGTGCCTCTATAGCCATAGTTACAGATATCCTGTCATGGTCATATCCACACCTGCTGCAATGAATAATAGTAAAGCCACAGCAACAATTGTAAACATCTTTAATGAATGTTTTGGAATTACACAGGGCTCAAAATAAGTGGGAGACTGGGAGTCAATGGTCCCCATAAAAAGTGTTTGCTAGGTAGCCCATGTGGCTCCTTAAAATCAAAAGAACTTATGACAAACCATGAATGGATCTTCCTAAATTTACGAACACTTGTCAGTCATGTACATTCCACAAACATTGTCACTATAAATGCTCGTGTATTCAAAGTAAATGCACTTTCATTAATAAAAATGCAAACTTTGACCCATATTCAAACTTTTTGATTTGTATAATGGAATTGATATTCAAAATTTGAAATATAGAGTGATTATATAAACTTTTATAAAGATGACTACTATTTTCAATCAGAATGTTACTTTTTTAACTTTTTATATATGATACCAAGCCTGCATCAAGACTCACACATTTGAAAGATGTACATAAAACAGGCAAGTAAAATTTGCAAACTTTTAAGTTGTTTGGAGAATCTACCTTACTGTATGTACTTGTTAGGGCAACACTTTTGAATCCAACTAGCCAAAAAAAAACCAACATATTACTGTTTTACCAATCATGTTGCAATCGGAAATCACTGATTGCCAACAGATATAGCGCACAATTGGCCCAATGCTGATTGTCGATTCCAATTATGTACAGTAAAGTTGACGATGTAATTGTGTAGTATTTTTGACAGTTTAACCTTAAAAATTTTTAAAAACTACAGAAAATGTACTTTGAAGCTTCATTAAATCTGAACTGTTTGACGTTATCAATAAATATGCCATGAAAAAAAAATCACAATCTATTTCCAATTTTTATTTGAACAAGTGAAACATCTTGTTTATCTAGCCACAGCTAAGAAACAAACCAATCAGCAATCACATTTGTTGAGCCACAACTAACTTTAAGGTGACTTCTTGGAACTATGCATATGAAGACGCATGTTAGTGTGCCGTGTGGCCAAAAAAACTTGCAGGACACACTTTATGTTATTAACAAGAGTGGTAGTTTAGGGATATTTCACTTTCTGCAGCTCAGAACGTGATAATCCAAACTATCGCATATTTTTCAGTGGATGTGGTCTACAAGACCCTTACTTCATATACCAAATTTCAAGGCAATCCATTAAGAAATAAATGAGATGTAAAATCTCCAATTTTAATTGAATTTCTTCTTCTTTTTTTTTCCTTCACACTTAAATTATGAATACTTTATTTGATAGAAAAACTTACTTAGCTTTTATAGATTTTTTTTCTTCAAATTTGATACACTTATTGAACTTTACAACATACAATTAGGTGTCAAATTTGGTCTAAATATATGCCACATGTGCAAAGTTATTCAATAAAAACTTTCAACAACTTTGAACAACATTTTTGTGCACGCCTATGCAAAATTTCACATGAAATATCGATCTGAAATTTTTACCAGAGTAAAAGTGAACCATTATTAGTTTTTGTCACTTGGATTAAAGATGGCTGATTTAGAGCAGCAAAACTATATGGTTAAAGGACGTGCAGTTACATAAATATTGGTTAGGCCAAGCAAACTAGATTAGTAGTTTCTAGCTCCTAATTACAGAGTGTTTAGCATCACATGATATTTAGCTTAAGCAATTAGTATAAACAATGATGCTTGATATGGCTGTACCGAATGCATGTGTGCAATGACAAGAAACTGTTAATGTAGGTTCCATGGCATTACTGTAAAGGAAGTTGTTAACACTATTTTAGAGAGGAAAAACTTTTGCCATATATTTAAAGAATCTTGTGGGTTCCATAAAGTATAGGTCTGTTCCGAATAATAGGGCTGATATCCTAAAGCTAATGTTGGTTACTATCGAGTGTCACTTTCTTATTTGCTGTGGTTTGTTGGTGTGTATTAACAAAAAGTCATGATATTTAATAATAAAAAAAACCTTGGGCATGAGGATTGAGCTTGTGATGACTTTATTGGGATCTAAATTCTTTTTTTGGAATCATTTGGGAGTGTCAGGTTGGATATTCCACCTCTTCTTCCCCCTGCACTTGTGTTTTGTTGCACTGTTAAGTATTGAACATCACATAAATGAGGGTGTTGTTATCACTTAAAATCATTGTTATGATTATAATATCCCTATCAAAGCCATGTCTATTTATTTTCATCATCATTTGCACTGGTGTATACTTTGCTTCTTTTGTTATGCTGAAGTCTTACAAATTACAAACAGTCCCATATAATCTAGTGCTGATTCATCGTGGAACATATCTTATATCTACTTACATAAATATGTCCTTTTTAATACATAATATATATACTACATAAATTATATATTACGTAGGTGTAGCAGTAGGTAGCTGATTGCTATTCTTATAATACATATTTAGGGGTGAGAGGTACTTAGACTCATTTCCACCATGTATGATTTAGCAATCCAATGTTTGTGTGACTGAAAGAGTGAAATCAATTGGCAGCCAAATGGATAGCTGCATTTATAGAAT